CGACAGCAAAGATGGCCGCTTCGACTCGCTCAAGCCGTACTTCGTCGCCTTCTTCGGGACGTGGAACATCCAGGGTGCGTGGTGCTTCCTGACCGGGCTCGCCGTGTGGGCGGCCAACGCCCGCGACCCGGCGGAGCAGCCTGCGTTTGGCTGGCTCGACGGCGTCGGCGTCTGCGTCTGGTGCGTCGGCTTCGGGATCGAGGTGGTCGCCGACCGCCAAAAGGCGGCGTGGCGCGCGCTGCCGTCGTCCAAGGGGCGGTACATCGACGTCGGCCTGTGGCGCTACTCGCGCCACCCAAACTACTTTGGGGAGTGGCTGCTCTGGACGGGGCAGTTTGTGCTGTGTGCGAGCGCATTCGGCAGCGGCGACGCGACGGGCGCGTTCGTCGGCGCGGGCTTCCTGAGCGCCGCTTCGCCCGTCTTCGTCTACCTGCTGCTCAACTACGTCTCGGGCGTCCCGCTGCTCGAGAAGCGGAGCGACGAGCGGTGGGGCGGCGAGCAGGTGTACCTCGCGTACAAGCAGGAGACGTATGTCTTCTTCCTGCTGCCCACGCGGCGGACCGAGGCGAGCCGCCCGCTCCTCTGAGGGGGGTTGGCGTAGGTGGGTGACGCGGCTGGCGTGCAGGTGTATGGCGGCGTACAGGTGAGGCAGCGGCGGAGGTGTAGTCTGCACAGCGCACGGTGGTCGTGAGGAGGAGTGCCTGAGCGGGTGGACCGTGTACGTGTACGATGTGTGGGCTTCGTTGTTTTTTCTTCAGCGTTTCGCCCGTTGGGCCCAAACGCCAAACCTGGGTAACCTGCATACCTGGCGAGTCTTCAGACCACGCCTCACTTTTTAAGCTTTATCCTTCACATCGCGCACTGCACTGCTGAAGCCGCAGGCAAGCTTGTGCTGTGAATCCCAGGGCCTCTCCAGGGCTCCCACCTCAACCTCCAGACGTCCTTTCTTTTTGCGCAGCGGCGCCGCCAGGCGCCCGCCCCGGCGGTGAACGAGCGGAGCGAAGTGAGCCGCCGGGGCGGGCGCCTGGCGGCTCCGCGGAGCTCCTTTGGCGTGGGGTGCGACTGAAGAGACAATTTCTCGCACCAGCCACGAAATCGCCGCGCCCGCTCGGCGAAGGCCGCGAAAAAGCAAGGGGGCGAAATCGCTGCTGCGTCGGGATGCGGGTACCTCGCGAGAAGCCGTTCAAGCCCGGCCATCATCACCCCCCCGAAGCAGCTGTGGCCGCGATTTCAGCCGGTCTCGTGACCGCCCCGCCCCGGCAGGCGCACGTTTGAGCAGGGCGTCCTGCAGCGCACCGAGAAGGGGCCGGTCGCGCGCAGCGCCACGCCGCAGGCGTCCGCCGGAGGCCCGCCGGAGGCTGTATGCGGCGGCCACTTCCCGTCGGTCTTTCGCCGCGCTCCGGCCGCTCCTTGGCTCCTGGCCGTCTCCTCCGAGCGGCTTTGCGCGCCCCCAACATCCCCTGACAGCAGCGCCTCGCGGCGTAGGCTGCGAGGTCACTCGGGGTGACCCAGGGGGGCGGCGGGGGAGCACTCTCCCGCCGGAGTAGCGACGGTCTTCCCGCTACTCGCTCCGTACTTGAGGTGCATCCACGCCCCGCCCACCACCTTTCCCGGGAGGCCCACCCC